CCGCGCTCTCGGGGGGGCGCCCCCCGGTGCCCGCCGTGGGGCGCAAACCCCAATTCATTCTGCCCACGCCGCGGAGCCGGGGTGGCCGTGGGAAAGCGAGGGGCACGCTCTGCGGTCTCCTCGCTCCCTCTCGCCCGCTGTGACTGTCAGATCTTGGGGGCAGAGACTGGCAGAGGACGTCCCTGGTCTTGCGGGTCTGATCCCTTGTTATTGTAGGCCCTACTGTAATGGGCGCCGTAACAGCAGGCGCCTCGTTTTGCCGCTGCGGGTATTCCCGTGCTGGGGGGGACTTGCGATCATTTTCGATGACCCATCCGCTGTCGCACACACAGACCCCGCCCTCCCGTCCCGTCTCCGGGGCGCTAACGTCGCAGCAAAGAAACGGTACGGGGGATGTGGCTGGCACCCAAGGGTGCTGTGTGTTTGCGCCCAAACCCCTTTTCCCGCACGATCGGCAGACCTCCTTTTGGGGGGATCTGGCGGGAAAAGGGGGTTTTGCGCGCGAAGAAAACACCCGCACGGCTTGTGTTTGCGCCCAAACCCCTTTTCCCGCACGATCGGCAGACCTCCTTTTGGGGGGATCTGGCGGGAAAAGGGGGTTTTGCGCGCGAAGAAAACACCCGCACGGCTTGTGTTTGCGCCCAAACCCCTTTTCCCGCACGATCGGCAGACCTCCTTTTGGGGGGATCTGGCGGGAAAAGGGGGTTTTGCGCGCGAAGAAAACACCCGCACGGCTTGTGTTTGCGCCCAAACCCCTTTTCCCGCACGATCGGCAGACCTCCTTTTGGGGGGATCTGGCGGGAAAAGGGGGTTTTGCGCGCGAAGAAAACACCCGCACGGCTTGTGTTTGCGCCCAAACCCCTTTTCCCGCACGATCGGCAGACCTCCTTTTGGGGGGATCTGGCGGGAAAAGGGGGTTTTGCGCGCGAAGAAAACACCCGCACGGCTTGTGTTTGCGCCCAAACCCCTTTTCCCGCACGATCGGCAGACCTCCTTTTGGGGGGATCTGGCGGGAAAAGGGGGTTTTGCGCGCGAAGAAAACACCCGCACGGCTTGTGTTTGCGCCCAAACCCCTTTTCCCGCACGATCGGCAGACCTCCTTTTGGGGGGATCTGGCGGGAAAAGGGGGTTTTGCGCGCGAAGAAAACACCCGCACGGCTTGTGTTTGCGCCCAAACCCCTTTTCCCGCACGATCGGCAGACCTCCTTTTGGGGGGATCTGGCGGGAAAAGGGGGTTTTGCGCGCGAAGAAAACACCCGCACGGCTTGTGTTTGCGCCCAAACCCCTTTTCCCGCACGATCGGCAGACCTCCTTTTGGGGGGATCGGGCGGGAAAAGGGGGTTTTGCGCGCGAAGAAAACACCCGCACGGCTTGTGTTTGCGCCCAAACCCCTTTTCCCGCACGATCGGCAGACCTCCTTTTGGGGGGATCGGGCGGGAAAAGGGGGTTTTGCGCGCGAAGAAAACACCCGCACGGCTTGTGTTTGCGCCCAAACCCCTTTTCCCGCACGATCGGCAGACCTCCTTTTGGGGGGATCGGGCGGGAAAAGGGGGTTTTGCGCGCGAAGAAAACACCCGCACGGCTTGTGTTTGCGCCCAAACCCCTTTTCCCGCACGATCGGCAGACCTCCTTTTGGGGGGATCGGGCGGGAAAAGGGGGTTTTGCGCGCGAAGAAAACACCCGCACGGCTTGTGTTTGCGCCCAAACCCCTTTTCCCGCACGATCGGCAGACCTCCTTTTGGGGGGATCGGTGCCACGCCCCCTCCACACCCGTCACAATCTGGTCCCCCCCCGGTTCCCCGCAAGGATGTGAAGATGCTGGTGGGCTAGAAACGTCGACCAAGCGAGACACCTTCCCCTCACACACCAGT